TTGTATTAACTATTTACATACTGTACATGCATCTGCTTCAGGGCCTTTATGATGCAAAAGACCATGATACAGCTTTGTTTGTGCATGCTGTGCTTTATGCTTGGTGTTCTGTCACAAGTTGTTTCTGTGTGGCAGTAGAGTTTAAAAGGGGGAGTCTCACACAGGAAGTGGATTTTTTTGCCAAGGTGGCTGTGATAATACCATGTTGTTTTGTTTTTTGCTGTGCTTGGTGAGATGAGTCCGGCATCAGGTGGGCTACACAGGTGCTAAAGTCAGGTGACATGAGTTCTCAGGAAATCACATGCACATTCCTCACCTGCTTGAACACTGGGAGCCCCTGTGGAGCTTTTGGAATTTGGATTTTCTTTTCCCCTCCTGAGTGCAACCAGGAGCTGAAGTTAGACTTGTAAAATTGATGGGTTGGAGGGGACAGACCAAAAGAAAACTTTTTCATCTGTTTCTCGTCTGAGTCCGAGTTCCCAATCCAGGCCTCTGTGTCTGTAGTCTGACTTTGTCTTCTTTCTGGCTTAAAATAAGGCAGTTCCTCTAGCAAAGCAGTTCATTCCCACTGCTGGACACTTTCTCAGGGAGTTCAGTTGGCTGTCTGGATATACAGAGTCACACTCCATTGCATTCTCGGGTCAAGCTAATATGAAGCAACACTCTGTTTGTGGAGCTAGATAGCACCTTATTAACTAGACCCAACTTGAACTCTGTCCACTAGCTGCCCCAGTTAAAAGCAGACAGCCTGGATTTCTCAGCTGTAATTGGAGTCATGTTTCAGACATCAGGCCCACAGTCTCGGGGTCAGATGGGAAATTCTCTCTGCCTGTATCTGCACAAAGACCTTCAGATAAACCTCCTGCAGGCGATGGGCACTCTGCTGGAAATGAAGGGGAAGACATACAGTAGCAGGTGATCTAACACAGGAGCAGAGCACATTTCTTTTGTTTTTGCTTTTGGTTTTTGAGGATTGAGACAGGAAGTTTGATCCAGTGAACATAATGACAGTTAAAAATGAGAGGAGCTGGCCCATCTGGACGTTAGCAGTTAATTGATCAGAGGATCTCCTCCGGCTGTGTCTTGAAGGAAGCAGGGCTATCCTCTTCAACCACACGGTGGAGTTGCTTGTTAAGATGAATGCATGGCTAGCCTGTTAAGCCATTTCCCCACAATTCATTCCAATCTGTTGATTCTGTGGCAACAGACATCTTGTACCCTGAAGTAAAACCCAGGATGCTTGTTACAGGTGTGAAACTGATACAAGATCAACACAGAAAAGTGCTATCTAAAAGTCACACACTGTCTTGAAAGCACTTTACACATCACAAGTTGAAAAGAAGCAAGGACAAAAGGAGAATCAGGAATATGCGGTCAGGAATATGGGGTGTGGGGTGGGGTTGTGCCTCTGTTTTATTAGAAATCAGCTGTGAGCAGGACAGTCTGCAGCTGCTGTATCTGATTGTGATGACTCACAGTATGGACCCCTGCAGCCCAGCTCCAACTTTAATGCAAATCCGAACATGGCAGGAATTGTGCAACCACAAAGCAAACCACTCTCCGACCCCTCGAGCTGAACCAAGAGGTCTCATCTCTGGTGACCACTGCCACTCCCCATAGTCCAGCAGTGTTCCCAACATCTGGGTAGTGGATGTGGAAACTGCTTTGTATTAAAATGTGCGAATGATGTGTGAAGAAGCTGCTGCCCACAACGAGCTCAGCAGTGGCACCAGGACGGCTTTGGTTCAATAGTACCTTATTAAGGAAACCCAACCTGAGCTAGCTGCCCCAGTTAAAAGCAGACAGCCTGGATTTCTCAGCTGTGATTGGAGTCGTGTTTCAGACAGCAGGCCCACAGTCTCGGGGTCGGCTGGGAAATTCTCGCTACCTGTATCTACACAAAGACCTTCAGATGAACCTCCTGTGGTTCAATAGCCACTCTGTGGTGAAACAGCTAGCAAAACCCAAGACAGGTTTGTGCAAGAAGGAGCTGCAGTGCTTGTAGGGTTTCAATCCATCATGAAGCTTCAGGACGTAGTTGACCTTTTTAAGTAGTTAATTGCCCACTATTACCATTCTGCCAGTTGTTACGCAGGTGATGAATTAAAGAAATTTGTTAGACTTGCAGAGTCTAGACTACCAGGAACAGACTAGTTATGACTGGTGGTGACTTAGATGTTTCGTGTGGTAGGTCATCTAGAAACAGACTTTGTCTTTTGGAATTTGACGTTAGAGAAGGAATGTAAAGACATTGACACAGTGAGTGTGTGAGCAAAAAAGTGCAGGAGTAACACATTTTTGTGGTTAATCATCATGTTACATACGAACTACCACACAAACGTGTGATTCCTCCTCAATCAATCTTTAGTGCTTCAGCAATATTTGGATTTATTGCATGAAATAAATATGTGGATGGATTCTATAGGAGAACAGTATTTCAGCACATTTTCAGTACATTTCAGTTATTCTCAAAATAGAAACTGTGATATGGCAAACAATACTGTGACAACCCCTTCCACCAACATTAATTCTAAATTGGATTTTAGATGTAAAAATTCTAATGCTTCCAGAAGTGTAATTTAGCGAATTTGCATTTTGCAAAAATACATTTAATTAACTGATTAATGCCAGTGTAGCATCATTGCCTTCATAAAATGATCCTGCTGTCACTTAATAAAAATGTGAAATGCTGAGGCTGTTGCTGTATGGACAATTAACCGCACAGTCACTATTTTCTTACTCTGGGAGTCTCACTCCAAGAAAGATGTCTACTGTAATGATGAAATCTGTGTAGCTTCTGTCAGTAGGTAACCTGTGTTAACCCAGTACTTTACTGTGACTAGATGCTCCACCTGTCTGTATTTCATCTCTCAAATTTTCTATCACATTCATCCTACAGTTCTGATAGGTGAGAGATCTAGAGACTGGGTGATACCTAGTGTCTCCCTTGTATTTCTGAAATTACATGACATGACTTACTATAGGATGGTTACTATCCTAATGTAGCCTTTTAAAATCCTCCACATGTTCCAAATTTCTTGTGCATGCTTTTGCTGTCTTCTATTTTTAATATATCATTTTATAATCAAGAAAATCGATCATGAGCATCTTCCAGTGTCATCCAGAAACTCATCTAGAAACTCTTTGCATCTCATGCAAACTGACTGAATATCAGTGGTGCTTCTGGCAGCTTGTCAGGTAAAGATTTGTTATGGGTCTGGAGTGAATTTATAATGCATTGATTGGCTGTGAGTCTGAGTCAAGGATCGCTTTAAAGGCAGGTAGCTTATGAACAAAGATAGTCTGGGATCTCAGTTCTGCTTCCCAGTGGCCTGAGTTGGCAGCTCAAGAAACAGACAGAAGGAAAATGTGTATGTGTTGTATCACTCTTGAGCAGAGAGCTTTCTACCAAAGTTCTCTTTTCTGTTTTGTCACTTTGGATGCTCATTAGCACAAAGGAAATAAAAGGAAACAATTAAAATCCTCATGCCCCTGTCGTGCTGTTTCAGAAATAGCTTAGATGGCTTAACAGGATCCTGTTTGCTATTAAAACATTTCTCTTGGCAACATGTAATAAGTACCCCTAATTATGTAATTTGTTGCAACCACTGTGTTGTGGGACTAAGGTTTGACTTTGACTTTTTGAGAAATGTGATAACCAGTTTCAACACAAAAAACACATGCATTTATTTTATTTGCAGATGATAAATGACAAGTAAATGCATTTTTGTGTGCCACTTTTCAAACTGAATTATGACTTAACACTCCAATTGCAGCTGATCATTAATTGTAGCAGTGTTAATGTATTGTCATATTGATGTCATCCTTTTGTTTTAAATAGAACGATTGCGAACTTTCAAGCTCTTTCTAGTCCTACCTATGTCACTTTTTCATAATAATCTGGAGTCCCCGTACTGCTAGCATCTCACCTTTGCAAATCCCAGGATCTGAATTACACCCAAGAGATGGAAACCAGCATTTTAAATGTCCAAACTTACAAAAGCAGGCAAACATGATTTGCCATTTGTACATTCTGATCAGATTTGGTGTTACTAATATTTTATACTTCATGTAAGTCCTGCAAAAAAATGAGAAGGGTGCCAAATTTAACAGTTGAAGTTTTCACTCCATTACAATATATTTAACTACTGTAACTTCTCTTTGCCTTCCTCCCTGGGGCCAGGAAAGAAGTACAAGGATACAAATGAGGGGAGCCATTTGGCCCATCCAGATTGCTTGGTAGTTGGCAGTTAATGGATCTGATGATCTCATTCAGTTGTTTCTTGGTTATGGCTTCAACAGCATGACTAGGTCACTTGTTCCACGCTCCCACAACTCTCTTAGTAAAGAAGTGCCTCCTGTTCTCAGTTTTAAATGTTCTAAATGTTGACAGGCTCATGCAGTAATGCAGCTATGACTCCTCCTCGCCAGGGTCTTATCTGCTTGCTGTCTGAGCTGGTCTGCATCAGTATTTGCCACTGCGGTCTGTCAGGCTTCTTTTTGATAAAATGACCTGTCAGGGAGTCAGGCCCTCACTGATTGAAATGTACAGAGCACTGACAGGAGAAAGAAGACAATTCTTCTCGGGCTGACACAGGAGACCTGTCGGAAAGCTTAATTTCCTGTCGAGTCTTCTCTCTCGTTCGAGTCTGGGAAGCACTGTACCAGATGTGCTGAAGTACGGTAACACAGGAGTGGCTGAGAAAGGTTTTTAGGAATTGATTTACAGGTAGACGGGATTAAAATACCCCTGTCAGTCAGACACAAAATAACACCAACACAAGACTAATCCCTGCTCCAAATTGTTTGAGGTTTTCTCTCATGGACACAAATTGCCATCATTCTCCTTTAGTCCCACATGCTCTAACCTGTGCTTTCTTTTCCAGCGTCTTGAGCTTTTCTTGGTGTGGGAGCCTTCACTTGAGATAGCAAGGGTCCTCATAGCCAGAAGCTGTGGTTCTCCATGTCCCCCTGTCACTCTTCCCTCTGTCGTTTTCCAGTCCCTCTATCTGGTGCGCCAAGAGATGGCGGTATCCCAGAAGCACCTGGGAGAGTTCTGCGAGGCCCTGAAACAGTACCTGAAGAATGTCTCTGCCCAGAGAGACTGTTTCCAGTGAGTATAGATGCCTGTGTGTGTGAAAATTAAGATGGCAAGTCTTGTATCTACTTAGAAAATACTCATCTGTTAGTGAATACCTTTGGAACCTGCATGCATTCTTTTCTGTGAACATTTTTAATTTAATTTTTCTCAGGGGTAATATTATCCCAAATATTTATTTAAATACAGGAATCAACAGAATTGGAGAACTTTTGAAAACCCTCTAATATAGTGGATCATGGAGTGGATGCATTGAGCATTTATTATTAAATAATAATATGAAGCCCATCACAGCTGCATAGCACCAGAGCAGAAGTTAATCAGGAGCTCCTTTGGGTTTTTTAACTTAATAATTTGTTTTTGTACAATATCTTCATTAGGAGATATCGCACATAAATTCACAAAAGAGTAAAACAATTCAAATATAATGGAGAATACAAGATCACTTCAAGAAGTAGATTGCTAAATCCTACAGTCATTATGGTATCACTTTGTGGTGATCAATAGTTTTATCCCAGCCAAAGTGTTGTCAGTCTGACACTGTAGCAGTATAGCACATGCCATTTGATGAAGAATACTGAGTTGAAATGAAAGTGTGCTGACACAGTGAACTTCCAGACTGTTCTCTAGTATCTCTAGTATCCCAATCCGATCGTTCGATTTTTGTCCTTTTTAAAAAAGTGCAAATTGTAGCTGCCTCATTATTCATCTGCAACATGTTTTGTACTTGAGTTGTACCCAGTTGCCTTGTCCGAAAAAATAAATGACATTAGACAATAAGGAAATGAAGACACTTCAAGGGTGAAACAAATAAAAAGAATAAAAAGAAATGACCTCAAAATACAAGACTGTATCATTGCAATGTTAATGTCATGTTTTCACTTGACATATAATTATCTATTTCCATATCTGAGCCACAGCAGCTCATTGGACCAGAGATTGTAATGGTTTCTGTAGTGTTATGCTGACAAGAGAGCACATAACTGCCCCCCTGGAAAGGACACTGGTCCTGATCCCCACTTACACAGATGGTTAGACTGGAGCAACTGGGATACAGTACCTCACTCAAGGTACAACAGTAGTGTCAGGAGCAAAGACTCGAACGCACAACCCAGCAGCCACAAGGACAGAGACTCATCTCCTACACTACACTGCCTCCAGTTAAAATTAAACCAGGCAGTAAAAGTACTGAGGGAAAGAAACACAGGGTTTTCTCCAAATGCTGTTCAACTCCGCACTGTTACCAACTTCTGCAGAGGAAAATTAGATCCATGTTATTTAGTGGGAGATCCTTCCTTAAAGAGGTGAGTTTCAAAAGCAAACCAAAACCCAAAGCAAAAAGCAATAAAGTCTTTTAATGAAATCTCGTGAATGGCATTCTGCCCTGTCTGTAAGTTGCTCTTTGAGCTGCTCTTCTCTCCTCGTGACTTCTGGAGATCCTCTAGACGCCCCGGGCACAAGGACACAAGAAGTGCCGCAGAAACACCGAGTGTGAAAGTAAACTGTGATCATCGCGGCGCATCGATTAGCATTCCACCTGGCTCAGCTCCGACAGCCTCCTTGCATTTTTATTCACAGAAAATTCAATACCCCGTCCGTGTAACCCAGCACACTTTCAAAGCCCTGCAACAGGGCCCGGTAGTGTGCAGACACTGGGGCGGCTTAGTAATACAGCCAGCCCTTCAGTGCACTACTGACATTTCAAGGCTGGTATTGATTTTTTATTTCCTGAAGAGGACTGAAGGACCACAGTGATCAAAAATTCACAAAGAAATGCTCTGATCGAGAACAAATTATCTGTGGCACTTCAGCTTCCCAATGAGAGGAGGCCCTTCGGCCCCTGAATAACCCATTCATACGTCTGGCGTTTGCTGTTCCTCTTTGAGCCTTTCCGCCTCGCAGGAGCGCATGGCCTTTCATCACAGGCAGGTGCGAGTCCCGTTCCACTTGATAAAGAGGAAGGAAAAGTCGTGCAAAGCAGCATCCAATATCAGTGCTGCTTTGTACCGGGAGGAAAGTTGACCTGACTTTCAAAGAGCAGGAGCAGGCACATGTGACTGTCAGAAGATCATTTAATGAGAGTTGACTAGGTTAGGATGGATCCTACACAGACGCTCACAAATCACCCTGACCCACCCAGTCCAGTCAATGCTCCAGAGAATTTGCTTGGCTCAATATATTGAAAGCACAGGAGGGACTAAATTCTAGATGCATGGACGCATAGAGACAATTTAGGGACACCAGTCAATATGTATGTCTTTGGAAGAGTCAAGAAAACAAAACAGCCTGCCAAAGCCCCATGAACATGCAAACTCCTCACAAGACATACCAGCCTGGAACTCAAGCAGAGCCCAAGGGCTGCACACGTTTCCAACTGCAGCACATAGTATCTTTCTCCAGTGCTTGTTGCTATGACTGCTTCCTGTCGAAATTCATAGGAGGAGAGCTGTGAAAATTTCAAGATTGTGCTCTTTCACACCCTGCTCATGCTAATACACACAACAAAGAATATCTTCTTATAGAACTTTACAATATCAGGGTTTTTTTTCCTGTGGTTCCTGTGTCTCTGACATACCTGAGAAAATACTGCCACCTAGGGGCTCGAATTAACCAGAAAATGTAAAAACAAAAGCCCTAATGTTCCTCCACTTGGTACATTGTGTAAGTTTTAAAATTGTGCTGAACAGGCATGATAACATACACTGAACACATTCAAAGCCTCTTAGTCCAAAGTAAAAGATGCTTAAAGCTTTTTACCTCCAAACAAACACCAGCAAACTTTCTAAAAAGTTTTTGCTATTGTCGTGCTAAAATTATCTCCTAGTAAAATGTTCACCTTCTACACTTTACTTTTCAGAGAGCAGAGAGACCCTTTTTGTCTTTTAGAGCACAAAATCCTGAAACTCCCTGCATTGCTATTGTTAAGGCTGCTTTCCCTGTTGTGCTGGAGTGCCGAGATTTCTCATCTGCAGGGACTAAGTGCTTTCCCAGTGGGACACATCCTTGTCCAGTCGTTCATGGACTGCGTTCTCTTTTCTCTCCTCAGTGTGACTGCTGTAAGGCTCCCCGACGGAATGACCTTTGTCGTTTACGAGTTCTGGGAAGGAGAGGAGGAGTGGAAGAGGTAATATTTACTGGGGGGGGGGTTATCGGGGGGGAGATGTTGCATTTTCCACAAAAGACAGCAAAATGATTGAGCCAGAATAATTGTACCCAGCTCATTTAGTTGCTAGAAGCCATTTGACAGAAGCTAGGGTTTCAGGTCTGACAGCATGGCTGGGTATCTTATTCCTCACCCCTTTGTGGAAAACAAAAGTGCCTTGAATCATGCTGTTCCATGTCTGGCTTAAAGAATCTGCAGCATTTTTGATGCCAGGCAGGGCACAATTACAGAAGTTTACAATAATTATTCTGCACTCATTTTGTCTCCTTCAAATCGTGTTCATTGGTGGCATTCCATTTATCCTAACCTTGAGTAAGCACTATTGAGCATTTCTGTAGCTCACCTTATTATAGCTGCGCTGCTTGTGGCCTAGATTCTGCAGGCTTTGATTGCTCATGTTAAATACTCAGATTCTTCAATGCTGTTACTATGGCAGCACTGTCTCTTTCCAAGTGGACTACTTTGCGTACATATAACTGATTCCGATGTTATTGCTTGTTGCTATTTAAAACTTCAGTTCCTTTCAGTGCATGTGTTTTGGCAGAACTCTTTAATAACGAAGTAGCACAATTGCCAGCAGCCATATTACCCTGCAACTCACAACTGGCAACCCACTGAAGCTCAGCAGGTGTGAGCCTGGTCAGTACCTGGATGGGAGACCTCCTGGGAAAAACTAAGGTTGCTGCTGGAAGAGGTGTTAGTGGGGCCAGCAGGGAGTGCTCACCCTGTGGTCTGTCTGGGTCCTAATGCCCCAGTATAGTGACGGGGACACTATACTGTAAAAACAGGCGCCGTCCTTCGGATGAGACGTAAAACCGAGGTCCTGACTCTCTGTGGTCATTAAAAATCCCAGGGCGTTTCTCTAAAAGAGTAGGGGTGTAACCCCGGCGTCCTGGCCAAATTTCCCATTGGCCCTTACCAATCATGGCCTCCTAATAATCCCCCTCTATGAATTGGCTTCATTACTCTGCTCTCCTTGCCACTAATAACTGATGTGTGGTGAGCGTTCTGGCGCACTATGGCTGCCGTCGCATCATCCAGGTGGATGCTGCACATTGGTAGTGGTGGAGGGGAGCCCCCATTACTTGTAAAGGGCTTTGAGTGGAGTGTCCAGAAAAGCGCTATATAAGTGTAAGCAATTATTATAGTCAAAAACTTTGTATACATACTGTATATCTGACCATTGTAAAAGCTTGGATTATAAAAGTTTGAATTCGTTTTCTGTCCCGGTTGAATGCTTTCCAACATTTTTGTGTTTTATTTCCTGTTTGAAGCAGCAGGTTTAGAGATTTTACATATTTGCATTGGCCATGGGTAAGATTCTGTTTCCAGAAAATAGTGTTAAACAAAAGTTCAGGGCAACATTGAACTGTAATCTTGTTGCACTTCTGCTCTCCTACATATCAATACTCACCAGCTGCCCACAGCTCTGTATGCATCTTTTCTATCTCGTCTCCCTCTACCTCATCTTCACTCTTACTGCTCATTCCTCATAAGTAAGCGGTGTTGTGAGAGCACTGATCTTCAGCCAAGCGAGTTCACTCCAAACACTCAAGTATTAACTACACTATCCCTTCAAATTGTTCAACTCATTGTATTGCAATTAACATTTGAACAAACTACAGAAATAGTACTCAAGGGATGAGATTGACGCAAAAGTGATAACCTTCTGTTTTTGCACAAACATGAGTGCATGAACACAATGTGAGGAGGGGCTGGCACCACAGCAAGATATATTTCAAGAAACTAACAGTCTTGTCATGGACCAAGAAGCACGGGAAGGGGTCTTTTGAAGGGGGGCTATGTGCATTGCTGACCCCCTTCAAGCCAAAACTTCAACGTGTGAAGAAAAAATAAGCTGATTCCAGTGTTTCAGCCACAAACAGCCAGTGATCACGTGCACGTGCAGGTACAGAAATGCTGTCAGCCCTCGTAAGCTATTTCCAAACACATCTTACCTCCCATTTACAGCTAAAACAACCTGTTATGTTGACGATGAAACTGACCTGAACCTCCAACAAGCACAGCCGGTTATTTATGACACTTTTATGTACCTGCACTCGCACAAACAAGTCTTGATCTGGCCAGCTGCCTGGTACAGCGATGGAGTTTTGCCAAGGAAAACCATTTGTCAGTCTAAGGGAAGAGGTCTGTACAATTCTCTGCGCCACACCACCTGTCTTTCAAAGACCATGTACCAATTGTGTGCTGCACTATAAGCATATTATCAGTTAGCTTTTCGGCAGCAGAATCTCATGGCCTAGCCAAGCCTTGCAGAGAGGGGAATGAGCCCAGAAAACCAAAACTTGACAGTCTTATCACAGCGCTTTGCGTGTTCCCCTGATGAGTCCTGTTGTCGCACTGAAAGCGATTGCCTCAAACACCAGTGCCACTAAAGACTGCTGCTCCCTCATGTTATGTTGGAAGTTTTCAGCTGTTGTCCTTTGTCAAATCTAAGACGTTTTTAGGGTAGGTAATGTACAGATCTCTTAATCAAACTATTTGTTTGCATAGGTTATGTTGACCAAAATGTGTTGCTCACTGTCTGTAAAAGCAGGAGGTGTTTTGCTAATCATTTCTTATAACCCCCCCCGCTTCCCTCTCCCCCCATCCCCTGCCAGACATCTCCAGAGTGTGCCCTGCAAGGTGTTCCAACACGTCAAGGTGGATACTCTGTGCCAGCCCGAGGCCATCTCCACTGTGGCAGTGCCAGGTCAGCATCAATAAATGTCTCGTTAAACAAATATTCAACTTTGATCTTGAGGGCCCTTTCTGGGCATGATAGCAATTGTGCCTACTCATCTCAAGGCTTGTACCCTGCGAACCCGCACAGTGTCGTTCATTTTTATTGTGTCGGGTGGAGCTTTGTTAGGCGATTCTGTAATCTGAACGTTTGCCCAGTTGAGACAACTGAGCTTATTTCATCCGTGGCCTCCATTCCAGTAGGAACAAGACTTCCGTCAGGAAAAGCTTTAGGAATCCGCGATCCCAGCACGCCACCACCTGGGCTCTTTAAGATGCTGGATCGCAGAGACAGAAAGAGGAGATCTGAGTCAGTGAAAGAGAAATCTTAATGCCATTTGGATCTATACAGTTTGGTCTGGACCCAGAGGGCCGTGACACTAGGAATGCAGGAATCACCTGGAAAAGAATCAATATTGTATAACTGCAGCCTGCTGAATTGGTTTTCCATTTTAGCTGAAATCTCTCTGCGGGATCAGTTTTGGTTTTCCAGCTCATAATGCCACCTGCTCCTCTCGGCGCCCATCAAAGAAAAGCAAGAACTGCTAACAGTTCTTACCTTCCCACGTCTTTCTATATCGGTATTCATCTACAGAATGTTCCTTTCTCTACTTAATGAAAATGCGAGCTGAAACCTGAGTGAATAATCAGACGGAAAAGGCTTTTTTAACCTCTTAAGAGCTCTTGCTTTCCTTCACAAATAGCTTTATTTCAATGAATATTGGATTTAAGTGCATAAAACCTTTCATTCTTATTACATGCGAATGACCAGTACATTTATGCAGCTCTACTTTATATATCTTCTGGCATCTTTACAATCCTCTGCACAATTTATTCTTGAAGAGCCAAAGAAATACCAATTCCAGGTCAAGAGCCATTAACAGTTTACAAAGACCTACGAAATCAAGAGGATTGCAAGAGGGCTGGCTGGGGTTTTGAGATTGAAAGATGGCAATAGGGGGGAGAAAAAGCACAGCTCCAGTCCTGCAAGGCCATAAAGGTCTGAGTGCAGATCCAGTTTTCACTCTTCACTCATCCTGAGCTGATTGAAGTCTTAGCAGAATCAGACAGCTTCTGTCCCTTTTCCCAGCTCTTCGTGGTGCTAGACTCTTTTCTCAGTGAACCAAACAACTGTGTTAAAGGAAACTGGACGTTTTCTTTATCGCAGTAAAGAAAGGAGGACCGACGAAGTTACCAAGTGAACCTTGTCTCTCACTCACAGTAACAGGTTTTTTTTTCTTGAATATGAGTGCATTTCCATATAAAAACCATGCATTTCGATTGGTCGGTAGCAGCTTATTACCCTATAAGGTGTAAACAAGGTCAGATAGTTAAGCAGTTAGGTCAGCCTTGGGCAATTAACCAAGCCCCTAATCAGCTAAGACTCCTGTTCCCTTTCATTTGTTAAATGTTGCTAAATCTCTGGTAGGATACATGAGTTACACCTCCACTCGGGAGACCTTGCAGATACAGCTGGGAGTGCACAAAACAGTAAAATGGTTCTTGAGGGCCTAATTGCTCATTCCTAACAGGCTTAGGTTCCTTCAGTGCAGAGCAAGCTGAGAGTAGAGTCAATACAGATGGCAGCATACAGATCAGGAAGAGGAAAATGTGGCTCCAGTTATTGATCTTCAGCAAGGACTGAAAAAGTTCAGCCTGTCTAGCCTTCTGGGTGTGCACTCCCTGAGAGACTCTGTGCCTGGATACCTGAGCTTGGTGTTAATCTGCAGAGCCTTGGCCAGCATCCTGGCCCCAGTGTTTCCAATGAGGTTGTCACTGATGTCATGTTTCATGTTGCTCAATCACTGGTAGGATACATGAGTTACACCTCCACTCGAGAGACCCTGAAGAAACGTAGGCCAGCTGGGAGTGCACAAAACAGTAAGACGGTTCTTGAGGGCCAAAAAGGCAGGGGTTCCTTCCATGGAAAGAGGCCTTTGTATCCTGCAGGGCCAGTAGCTGTGCTCCCCTTGCTGTGAGGCTGTGCTAGTTCTAACGCTCCCCTCTCTCTCTCCGCGTCCCCCCAGCGGCCTGGTGCAGCCTGAACAGAGACTGACTGGGGGTGCGACTCCCCGCACAGATGCCCCCGAGCCGCTGTCTGCAGAGCCCCATCTCCAGTGCCCCCCCCACCCCCGCTGCAGGCTGCAGACGACTCTCCTCTCCTTTATAATGACTTGTTTACAAACAGTGTCTGTTAGATACTTAACCGAGCACACCGCAGGGAATGCTGGGTATATGAGGGGCTTTGTGATGTTGCTGTTAACAAAAAGTGAAGGAAAACAAAAACGAATCAATATTCCACCTACCTGGACTGAACATAACTACTACTGGATAGAAACTGTGCCATAAATACAGGAAGATTCATTGTGATCTTTCTCAGCCCAGATCCAACTCACAGCTCCTTCACGGTTCACTTTCTATGAATGTACATACAGTGTTCAAACAGAGACTACAGTTTGACAAATGTTTTGATTTGTCTTTTCATTCAGCAAAGGAGGCAGCATTGGTCCCCAGCGGCTTTCCTTGTAGATATTAGATAGAATAACACCAGTGCTCTTAACAGAATTTTATGGGAGCCACTGAGTCTTAGATTTTACTTTTAACTCCGAAGAGATGGGTAACGTCCCACATTGATCTCCTCAAGATGCGCATTCTACTTATCTGCCTCACATGAACTTTGCGATCTGACTCTGTTTTGCTTTCCTTCACTTTCCAAGCAAGTGCATGTAGTCTGGGCGTCCAGTATCTTATTTGCAGTAGAATTTAGCTGTGCTACTTTTAATGGATTTTCGTGCATTTCTAATTTCTTTTATAATCCTACAGCTGGCTCATTAAAAATAAAAAAATGGGTCAATCTATTCACTTTTATGGCATTGATTAAAATACTACTTATAAGTCTGTGTTTCAGTATGCTCCCGATTGCTGTTTTACTCTGAGCATCGGGAGTGCAGGGATGTGTTATATTCCATCTGAAATTAGTTTACTTATAGCTCATGTACAGTAAAGGTACTCGGAAACTGTTGAACAAAAACTGAAATAAAACTGTTGAAAACAAACTTAATCTGTTTTTATCCTCATTTAATGCTTTTGAAAAACTGGCAACTAATGGTGAAGGGAAAAATTCCTCAGTCCCAGTGGTATCAGAAGCTCAAAAGAGTAATCAATACCAGCCTCATATTCTAGAGAACGTCTCAGGGTGAGATTTAATAATGCATGCTGCGTCACCTTTTGGAATTCAGTTTTTATTGACTCGCTCAAAGCAAGTTGTTCACAAAAACACATGCAGTTTCCAAGCCAATTTCAACCGTATATATTTTGGAAACGAAAAGAAACACTACTCAGTCAAATTAAATAACAAGTGTGGCAAATGTGAACAGCACTGCTGCCTCACAGTTCTTGGGTCCTAGGTGCAGTGCTAGCCTGGAGCACATTATGTGTGGAGTTTGCATGTTCACCTTGCAGCTCAGTGGATTTCATTGTCCAAAGACAGGCTAGTTAACTGGTGTCTCCAAATTGTCTCATTTATGAATGGGTGGATGTGCCCTGCAATGGATAGGGTCCATCCTGCCTTGTCTATCAGATTAGCTCCACTTCACTCCAGCCCTGTCTGAACATGTAACGAAACAGTTCTTTCCAGACCCTATGCAGACGACACAATCCGGGGTAGTGAGGAAACACTGGGGAGAAAAGCCAAGTAGGAATCGGGGATAAATACGGGGGGGCGTGTCCAGACTGCGCAGGTGTCCAGGGGGGTGAATCCGGGGCAAACAATCCAAAGAAGAAGTCCAAAGGAGAATCCAAAACAGCGCAAAAGTCCATGGCCAGGAGATCCATCCGAAACCAAGGATTAAAAACTGGAACCGGGTCGGAACCGGCGGGAGGGGAATGGGAACAGAGAATAAAACCTTAACGGGACCAGGCGCTTCCAGGTCCCGGACTCGCACGATACAGAGATCAGATGCAGAGCCCGGCTTAACGTCAGCGCCTGGCTTTTAAGGTGGGCTGGAAGGAGGCTAGAACAAAGAGCAGGTGCGGGGAATGAGGCAAACAAGGAAGAGCCGGAGCGCCCTTAAGGGGGAGGGACTACAATCGTGACAGAACAGTTATTGAAGAGGGATGCGTAAATAACGATAGTAATAAAATGGAGATCAAGTTTAATTCTTTTTTTTATTTTTTTCTTTGGCAACAATATTAAAACATGCAGTTCAAACAGTTTCTCTCCCCTAACATATAAAAACAACTGTAGAAAAAGAAGCCGCCTGATAGATTTTTTTTAAAAAAACATCCCCAACTGAAAGGATTTTCAAGGCAGGTATGAAAAAGTCATACTCCGACACCCCGGTTCTTCCAGTTAAAACTTGTTGAAAAGTTCCATGATCGCGATGGTGGTGCTCTGGCCGAAGATAAAGGCTCCGCACAGGACGGAGAGAACGCCCCAGGCTGACAGGGCAAGCCTGGAAAAGAGGAAGAGTGGGGAGGGGAGAGAGCAGGGTGGCATGGTACCCTTTTAATACAGTTCTAATAAACCACGCGACCTGATACACACCCTAACGGGAACGCTTTTCAACACGTTTCTCTCAAAGTGTCTGAGAAGCTCCTCTTGAGCACAGACTGGGGCAGCAAAACAGTCGCGTTTCCTGGCATTTCTGTGCAATTCCAAGGCACTGGGGATGCAGTTTACCCCCTATAAGCCAGTCGCTTTTTCCCCGCGAATGATGCAGGTTCAAACACCAACAGGACAAGGAAGCGGGAGGTGCATATTAGCAATTTAGAAATTAGGATCTATTTTATTGCTGCAGAATGCAAATGTTCCGAGGTTTGAAAATGAATATCACTCAAGTTTGTTTGATTTCAGGAGAAAATTAAAAGTGCACTTGAACGCCCCAAAACGTGAGTGCGAAATGACATTCCGCCAGAGACGGCCGGCGTCTTGTTTGCGCTTGAAGCTGTTGGGAGCTGTCTGAAAGGCCATGCTTACCTTGTCCTTGGCGAAACAGTCTCAGAAACAGACGCCGACTGCATGGCAAATATCAAGCACAGGCCTGCAGGAGAACGAAATTAAAGGGTTTTATTACCCAGGACACATTGCGGACCTTCATGTCAACATATAATAGGTAATAATAATTTCTTACACTTCTATAGCACTTTTATGGACACTCCACTCAAAGCGCTTGACAGGTAATGGGAACTCCCATCCACCACCAATGTGCAGTGGGGAGGAGAGCAGAGTGATGAAGCCAGTTCATAGATGGGGGTTATTAGGAGGCCATGATTGGTAAAGGCCAGGGGAAAATTAGTAAAACCCCTCCTCTTTTTGGGAAACACTTTGGGAATTTTCATGACCAAAGAGAGTCAGGACCTCGGTTTTACACCTCATCTGAAGGACATTTGTAGTCTAGTGTTCCCGTCACTATACTGGGGCATTAGGACCCACACAGACTGCAGGGTGAGCACCCCCTACTGGCCCCACTAACACCTCTTCCAGCAGTAACCTTAGTTTTCCCAGGAGGTCTCCCATCCAGGAACTGACCAGCCTCACACCTGCTGAGCTTTAGTTGGTTGCTAGCTTTGAGTTGCAGGCTGATATAGCTGCTGGCTGACATATGTACAATAAAGTAGTGAGGTGATAGAGCTTCATGCACTAATCTGGCCTGCTTTTCACGCAAAGCAAGTGATGTGGGGGGAAAGCCAATCTCTACAGTGGCCAGTCCTCTGACCTGGGAAAATGAAGATGAAGAAGGCGCTGATGCCCCCGATGACACTGATGACCTTGCTGATGTCCGGCATGAACATGGCGATGATGAGGGTGACGGCGATCCAGGCTACGGTCAGCACGACCCGCGTCCTGTTCTCGTACGACTGCGTGACAACTGTACGTTGCCTGCGGTATCTCAGGAAGAGCCCCTGGATCACAGACCTGCAGGGCCGAGCACACGAGCAGACGAGGTGAGCAGAGGTGCAATTCCAGTTGGGATATAAACCATCCGTATTTTCCCCAGACTCAGAATGACCACTAGCTGTTTGATATTGTTTTAGAAGGCATGTGATGTTTGTTCTCCACAGCTCACACCTTTCTAAATCTGACACCAATTCTAAAACTCTGCCATTTGTGCTATTCGTTGTCCAGCTGAGATCTGAAGCTCAGGGATGCCTGGGCATGAGAAGCACTATAAAAGAAAGCATCTGTATTTTGTTGTGTGGAATTAGGATATTCAGAATCACACCCCCACGGTCCTTGACCATAAGCAGTACCTAACTTGAAGACAGTTCAAAAACTTCAGACCGAATGTCATAAGCCTACCAGTGTCTGGTGACTCAGGGCCCTGCACTTTTAGCTGTGACAACTCTCGGGCTCGGGCTGAAACCACTGACCTTCCCAGCAGGAGAATGATGGGATAGATGGTGATGATAGACACACCAAACAGCAGCCGGGCGACGATGATGACAACATCACTTCCAGGGTAGGACATCAGGATGTCTGCAGCCACGTTCCTCCCAAAAGTTAAATATCCAAAAACACCTGAATTGAAAAAAGAGACTTTCCCAGAGAACTGAAACAGAAAGAGTAGGTTTCCAAAAACAAAAAGGCAGGCCATCTCACTTGTGTGTGCTAATGTTCTCAAATTAGTGTCTGGACAATAGTGATTAAACATGTAAAACTTGGATGTATCCTGGGAGGCTTTAGAATCACAACACAACAGTTGCGTATTTGAAGCAGTAGCAGTTTTTTTCAACTTGGGCCCAGCTCACCAGTGAGGGTGTAGATGAGCAAGCAGAAGAACATGGAGGTGACAGAGATGATCACCCAGTGGGAGATCCTCTTGTTCTCCATGCTGCTGTAGATGGCAATGCAAGCTTCGTGGCACTGGAACACAGACAGGCAGGTTACTCAGCTCATGCAGACCTTACATAAGCACAAGGCTGGGAATCTGGACAGCTTTTCAACTAGAATTTAAGACCTTTATTTTTTCTCTCTCACTGAACCACATTGCAGCTGTACACTAGCCTAGGCTCATTCCTAAAGCAGAACAGCAAAAACCGATTTCAAGCCACTGGAATACGAAGGCGGCTTACCTGAAATCCAAAACAAATGGTTGGAATGACACTGAACATGGAAGCCCAAGAGCCTATCCTGAAAAATCAAATTTAAAAGTCCAATCAGTTCAGTCCTGCCTCCCTCTGAGTGATCAGTGCTCTGACCTTAGAGGAAATCTGAACCTCCGCAGATTAACACCGTCACTACCAGACCTCTGTGTCACTGCAACGCCATTTTGTGTCAGCTGTAGCCTAATGTAAAAAACTGACCAATGACACCTGCACGTTCGTGCCTCTTAGAGTTTGCCATTTAACGTTGAAGAAAATTTAAAATTAAGCAGGTTGTGATTTAATGGTTGTTTTTATAACTATTTCATGTTTTCATAAGCTTTACCATTGAGCGTTTCCACTAAGGAGTGACAACACTGTACTGCAGGGGTTCCCAGTTCTGCTTCTGAGGGACTCACACACCTGTTGGTTTTCATTCCAGCTGAGCTCTGTGTCATATCATTAACCCTCTTAATGGACCTCAAAACCGGATCCAGTTGAGCTCTTTAGTTCGTTTCATTTGCTAAACGCGTCAGAGATTTTGCCTTGTGTGTTTCATAAGCAGCCTGTGTTGAAAGAAAGCTAACGAAGGTGTTTGTTGCCTCTACTGTCCGTTCAATTAAGGAATTCCACTTTGGCCACAATGAGAACTAGAAGGTCTGTGTCTCCCCCAAAACCTGGTTTAGGAACCCCTGCAGAACAGGCACATGAAAATCAAGGTCTGCTTCCATCCCAGAATTATACGCCATTTTTTCAGAGACGGCCTAAAAGGGAAACCTGCAGTATTTCTTTGTCATTGTGAAGCCTCCTTCTAGTTTCCCCTCTGGCGTGTTCACCGAAGTCTTGTGATGAACTTCACAGCCCATTTAACACCTTTCTGTTCACACAGAGGTCTGGAGAGCTTTCAGTGACAGTCATTAGCTGACAGACGCCACAGCGCAGGGGCCGTGGCCGCAGGGTAGGAGATGTTGTTGAGGAAACTCAGAAGGTCGGAGGCACTACCATCAAAACCTTTGAAGTAGGAGGCGCTTTAAGTCTGAGAACAAAAAGGTTCCAGGTCTTTAATGAAAAGAGTCAAGAACCTATTATAGCAGAGGTGAAGGGATAACAAAAACCATTCCTTAGTGTTTTTTGTCACCTAATATTCTTTCAGGTATTGATTTTGAAACCAGACCTTCTCCAATTAAATGAGCACTTGAATCACATTGAGTCATTTAGGGTTTGGAATGGAATGAGAACCATAAACAAAGTGATGGCTTCAGTAGTGAATATTCAGTAGTGAATATCAGTGCTGTAATAGGTGCAGCATTTTGAATGCCACGCGATATACTGCAATACTTGACACAATGAAGCTTAAGAGCTACAATATAAAGATGTGGACACTGGAAGACACAAACACTCCTACATTGGCGCCTAAATAAGAAAGCTACAGCTATTTCTACATGTGACGCACTCATACAGAAATGGAAAGGGCTGCTTTCACTGCCCCCAGGAAGACCCTTGCTATAGGTGGATTCCTGCTGGCGCTGACTCACCTGGTGCTTTGGTTTGGAGTGTAGATGACACCGCTGTGCTCCGTCATGCAGTACTTTACGATGATCACCACAGTCAAGTAGGTCGCAGCTAAAGTACCTAAAATACTGAACAAGGAGACTGTGGTCAGCCAAGGCTATAGCCCCAACATCCATGGAAATGAGCAGCTTCTTTTACTTAGTGATTAGCTGCTGGATGCCTGCTCTGTATATCCTTGAACCACCCAAACAGAGCCTCGCTCTGTATTACTGGCCTCACATAACCAGGCACAGTACAGCCTAGAGCTGTAGCAGTCAAATTCTACTCCTTAAATCACTCCCATATCGAATAAAGACACCATCCTGCAGTGCTCCAGTTAAGACAACAATTAGTTTAATTGGGCAATCAAGAGTTTATTAGGACGGAGCTGAGCTCCCATTTATTGTGCGAATATGCCAAGATAAAGAAAGCCCCCATTCCTGAGGTCCCTGCCTTATCAAAACACCCGTCAGTCAGCAGCCAGCTGAGGTCACGCCAGGCCTTCAGCACCGCAGGCATGGCCAGTGGGATTCGGGAACTGAGGGCGGGGACATACGCCAGCCCGCAGCCAGATTCACCGGCGGAAGAAAGAAGTATAAAGGAATTGTACCGCTTAAGGCAGGCTTTCTCACTGAAACAGAAATCGTACATGCAGTACAGCAAAGTCCTGGGGCTAGGCGCAGCAAATTGTGAGGGGAATAAGTGCAAGTCCTACTACAGAGATATCCAAGGTAAAAAATCCTGTGAGTGACACAGGCCGAGTGCTGTAGTGTGGTAACAGTTAACAGAGATACCAGGGGACCCTGCTCCAGTCGCTCACCTGGTGTATTTCTGGAAACCGATCTCTTTGGGGATGGACAGAGGGAGGATGACCACGACACACAGGATGAACAAGGCAAAGCGCTGGTCCATGTACCAGTGATGGGGCACCTCTGCCCCCGCGGTAGCCGTCACAGTCAGGTACAGGGAGTCACACACTGCGAGAGAAGAATCACTGAGCTCCCGGTTCACCAAACAGTGACAAGCAGCTTGAGAGCTGCTGGAGAAGCACAGCTACGTGTTTGTTATTCAAGGCCCTGAACAATCTCCCTCTCGGCTCACATTAAAGAGAAATGATTGCAAAGGAGCAACGAAATGAGAATCAAAGGGCCGTATTCATTAAAAACCACTGCAGTCTATGAAACTACAGCCTGCTAATTAACCCCTGCAGGCAGCTTTACAGCGTCTCGCCCGATTAGGCTAAATTAGCAAAACGCTTTGGCTTCCTCAAAGCAGAGCAGGAAAAGACTCTTTTGCCCGGTGGCAAGCGCAGGATGAGGGACGAGGCTGGTGCCACTAAGCAAGGGGGCACACGTGGTCGTGTACTCACGCTTCTCCAGCTGGTCCTGCACCACCACCAGGAAGGCCACGGAGATCATGAAGAGATTGAAGACGAAGCAGATCTCGCACAGCTTGCCCACGGCCAGGCCGCACAGCGCCCGCACCACGTCCTGGTAGGTGGACTGGCCGCTGATGGAGGAGGAGTACCCCAGGATGACCAGCCCGCTGATCAGGAAGACCAGAGACACCTGGGGAGGAGCGGGGCGGGAGGGGAGAGGCACTTTGGCTGTAATGGCACCACCCACAGAGGCAAGCTAGTGGTTCTTGAACTCTAAGCGCCATTTAAAAATTGCGGGGCAGATTTAAAAAAAAAAAAACCTGCAGCGAACGTCACTGAAGGAAAAGGAAACGAGCGTTTCTTTTTCCAAAACACGTGCAGCCCCATTGGGCGTCACACCCCCTGTAACATAAGTTGCACGGTTTTACATAGACAGAGCACCTGATTGGCTGAGAGCCATGCCAATGGACGCACCTAGGATTTTGTGCGGCCGTGACAAAATCCGTCTGGGATTGTGCCGAGCTGCCAGACACTTCTTGGAATACCAAAACCACGTGATCAGACCTTCAAGGAACCGGAAGGTATGCAGATCAGGAGATTGTCCCCTTTCCCCCCTCCCAGTCCTTCAATTAGCACCTCCCTGTGAGAAGCTGAGCCACGTTCACACCTCACTGAGTAAACTCTTCAAGCAACAGTCAGACCGCGAGCCTTCACTTTGGAACCCAGGAGCTGACCCCAAAGGAACAAAGACCCATACATCACATTATTATACGGGCATTGCCTGCTTTCACTCAGCTCTTGAGCACTAACAGTAACAAAAAAAAACGATAATACTTACCTTTGGAATTTGTCAGGCTGTTTTTAAAGAGTTTTGGTGGTATCCTAAATAGAAATCAGCCTTTGGAAATTACAAATACTTCCCATTACTATTTTTGCCTTTTTTTGTCTCTCATCTAAGGGATTGTGAGTGCTTTTCAAGAATAGCTACACATGAAAGGAGGCCGGCTGGGAGCCCATTTGCTGGACCCCATCCAGCTGTTTCCTGAAGGAAGACAGGGTGTAATTTGCAACAGAATGGCTGGATAGCTTGTTCCATGCTCCCACCACCCTTTGGGTGAAGAAGTGCCTCCCGTTCTCAGTTTTAAATGCACTTTTTCCACTTTTTCCTACTGCAACCAGTGGAAATACGCAAAACATGAACGGTGCAGCACAGAAGAAAGGCCTTGAGAATCTAGACAACTGGAATTCAGCCTTACGACACCCCCGGCAGCCAGACACTTCAATTTACTTTTCTTGTTCCTCTTCTACCACAAAAGCCTCAGAGTCCCTGCCCCCAGCCCCCCCCCGGGCACCGACTGGCTCACGATCATTGCCAGCCTCAGCTCTGGCACCTGCAGCAGCTCCTCCTGCCAGCCAATGTGAGGACTGACTAGAAAGCGTGCCTGGGATTGCTCTGCTTTCCTCACCCTTGGAGTGTGGGAGGCTGTTAAGGAGCCTGGCGTGCTGTGCAAGCATTGTCCCCAGCTCATCAGGCTCTGGTTAGGGTGTGTCACGAAAGCGTTTTCAGAACCCTATGCAGACGACACGATCCGGGGTAGAGTGGGGGAAAACACAGGGGAAAAGCATGCGGGAGTCGGGAATGAAAACAGGGAGTGTGTCCATGGTGCGCTGGTGTACGGGGGAGGTGTGGCCGAGGCAAACAATCCAGGAATAAGTCCAAGGAGGAATCCAAAAGGAGGCAAAAGTCCAAAGCCGGGCGGTTCATCCGAGACAAACGGGGTTATAAACAGGAATCGGGTCGGGACGGGAACAGGAACAGGAACAGGAACAGGAACAGGAACAGGAACAGGAACAGGAACAGGAACAGGAACTAAAACCTGGACGGTACGGAAACCAATGCAGAGCCCGGAACAGAGTGAGCGCCTGGCTTTTAAGGAGAACTGAAAGGGGGTTGGAACAGGGAGCAGGTGCAGTGGATGAGTAGAAAACAAGGAAGGGCTGGAGCGTCCTTAAGAGGAGGGGTTTACGAACAAGACAGCGTGACGGTGAGTGGGATGAGAGCAAGTGACTCCTCCCTGCCTCTAGGTGGGACTAGTGCCGGATTTCCCATTAGGCACTGTAGGCACAGCACCTAGGGCCTACGAACTTTTTAGGGCCTGCGAAGGATGAAACAACTAATGAAAAACGAGCTGAAACAACATGCTTGTGATTGATTCCAGGTGCTCCAAATCAATAATCATGCGCTATCCAGCGGCTGTTCTAGAAACTAGAAGTATCAAAGTGATGGCCGCTTGACTTGCTCCATCAATCAGGTGGTTAAGCGTTAAAATAATTTAAAGTGCATCATGTCAATCGACGTCATTCAATTGGCGTTGACCCCTCTTTTTGCACATTTCGGAGTGAAAGTGCCTGGGGTCTAGGAACACCAAAATCTGGCCCTGCTGGGATGTGAGTCCATCACCGACCATTACAGACATGACCCCCCCAGCAATGCTGATTCCCACTTTAACAGCTGGGCGGACTGGAACAACTGGGGTGCAGCACCTCATTCAGGGTACAACAGCAGTGTCTGCAGCAGGGACTCGAACCCTCATCCTGGCAGTTATATGTCCAGATTCCACTTTAAGACATGCTGTGGCATAGGGGTACAATCAAGTCGCCTGTCCAGATCAGAAAGACAAAGCAGAGTTCTAGAGTTTTAACTAGCCTGCTTACCTTCAAAAAAGCTTTTCTCATAATAAGTGCTGCTTTCTCTAAGCACAAGAACTTAGAAGAGACAGTTTGGACATGACCTTCTTTTCAATTTCTGTGTAGATAACAGCTTGTTATCTAGCTCGTGTATCTCTGTTGACAGAATTCTACATTGCAAGTCTGAATTCAATTAGCCCTGTTATTCTGGTGTGTTCTGCTGTGATGGCAGGAATAACAAGTCCCCCATCATTTTATGACAAAGTACATTGGGCTGTACTTGGCTTGAAAGAAGCCACGTTCAGGTAGTTTGGTTTCACAAAGAAGAAAATCATATGAGAAGAAAATCATTCTCCATGCTGAAATACTGCAAATGATGATGGAATAATACACCTGACACACCTAAAGCAAAATTTAATTGCTTTTTACGAGCACCATATTATTTGGATCTCACAGGTGCCAGCTTCTTAATGACATTATTGCAGCTTTGTGTACTTCTCAAATACATTTCACTTGAATTCGTTTTAAAATGTGTTTTATTATTCCAAAGCTAATTGAGCTGTCCACAGCAGAGGGTCACATGCACTCTCTTCAACACGGTTTACTACTCTGTTTTAGGCTGTAACTTGAGAATAATTGTGTTTTCACACTTTTCAGAGAAGCATGTTTGAAAAGGCTCCATGAAATTGAACACAATGATAAAAACAGTTATTTAAGTTAAAGTTGCCAGAGATCGACTTTCCAACATCCATGACAGCACCATAAGCACGTTGGTTTTAGCAGAAGACCCCAAAGAGCCAAAAAAGGCTCTCTTTTTTAAAAAGGCTCTCTGGCATCATTAATTCTTAGTGTCGCCGATTATTGCTAGGTGTCACAATGACGGGATTGTTTCACTCCGAGAAACTGTCACGTTAAATACAATGAAGCAATAGAAATGATGAGGGCCTCTCAGAATGTACTGTACCATATGATATCATATAGATACATTCATATGGTAAACAATAGTATTAATACTATTTTATCCTGCATAACACAAGTAATGTTTTTGGTACTATAAGGAAATTAAACATCAAGGATTTACCGCGGACCTAATTAGCATCAACCGCTTTTAGGAGTTAACATATCTTCTATAGATTTCAGATATTACTGACAAATAGTGCGCTGAACTTATTAATGCAGTAGTTGTGGTCAGGGGGGTCAGAGGAGGGTGATTCAAAGGTTAAGCTGCACAATGTATGTTAAAGGCCAGATGGTGCGTGTTTCTATAACCATCTGCGATACGTACCATGAACTTCGAGTTGGGTTTTTTTTTGCTCTATTTCCTAAAAGGCATCTCACGCCGTAAACCGGTCTGTAAGGCAGTGGAAGAAATCCACATCAATGAAAACTAAAATAATTGCCGGCGATCGTAAGGACAAGCAAAATTAACACAAATAAACATGAATTTCAATCAGTTTGGAAAGCGATCCGTAGCTCACCATTTCGACCGCGACAGCGGTACTGATGCCCCCGGCTCTTTCAAAAGCCCAGGGGAAGTTGAGGAGCCCGGCGCCCAACGCGGACTTCAGCATGATGAAAACCGCCCCGGACGACGAGAGCTTCGGCCCATCCGTGTCCAGCGCAGGCTTGGCCATCAGGCTGATGCTCTCTCGGGCCAGTTCTTCCATCCTCGGGCCGGCTCTCGGCTTAAATTCCCCGGCAACCCCAGTTGTCAAGCTGCTTCGCCCGAGGGCACTTCTCCAGCTCAGGTTGAGGGGTGGGGATCTGGGTCAAACAGGCGCTGGTGTTAGTGGGGCTGTAGCCAAAACTTCCGGCCCGGTCCAGACTAGCTTTTCCCTCCCTGCTTTAATGTCCCAAACCTCGCCGTTTGGATGGATGGATCCCAGCTATGGTTTAGTGAAGTGGATGGTTTCAGGTGTGCCGTGCCTCACTCTGTGCTGAACTGCAACAGTTCACTCCGAGTGAAAAGGGGGGCTGCAGGAGAAAGGATTGCTTGGTTACAATCAGGTGCTCAATGTCTTTCGCTGCGCAATAAGTTGTTTTTTGTACTTTTGTAGTTTTCTATCTGTGTTGAACGGTAACTGGGCAGAATGTCTAATCCCTCTTTGTGTGATGATGTCAGACGTGGTGTAAAGTCTCCGTGGGAACTGTAACTCTGCGGGGAATTTCTGATGAATAAGGAACTTTTTTTCTTCTGAGCTCTTCTTCTGCCCTTCTCCTGCGCGGCTCGTCAGATACAGCAGACAAGTCCACAGTCCAAGACTAGTCGCAGTATAATTGAACCACACAGCCAAAGCTGAAATAGCCCCTGCCCAGATTAACAAACCGAACGGCTGGGTGCTGAATCTGTTACCTGGTCGACAAGTCGGTTTTTTTGTGCCGTAAATGGGTCTTTATAATTAACGCGGGGGTACCACCTTTGGAAGTGGAGTGAAATGTTTGAAAATGAGTAGAAAATGTCTCGCTGCAGCTCGCCCGCAGAATGACCCGTGGCCGCGTTTACCTAGAAACTGTTCAATTATTTGGACAGCACGGCGCAGGCGGCCGGCGCGCCTCCATTCGGTCATCAGTTAAATACGAAGCAACGATATTTTTTTTTAAAAAAGCAAGTTCAATATGAACTCAAGAGTGTGCGCACATACAAAAACGGGTAGACTGTTTTGTGTTATCACAGCTCACGAGATGTTTTAAAATTGTTTTTGAATTGGTTAAAACGAGAGCGGTAGGGAGGTCTCTGATATCCCTACGATGGCTTGGGAGTTATGTTTCTCTTCCTGCTGGATATTGTCACTGCGCCCTTTGGAGCAGGGCTACGCTCTAAACTTGCTGACCTGTGGTCACCTGATTCACACATCTATACTGCCCATAGTCTTGCCAAATCAAGTCCTGCCCGTTTTCGCACTGACTCCGGACAACGGCTCCGGATAAATTGTTTCACCTGCGTGCGGTAAGGCAGCACGAGCGATCGGTGTACCCTGGGCATATTTCTGGGGTCACCGTGGGAACCGCGTGCGCCGGAGCTGGACACCGGGTCACCTCGGCCAGCTCTAATAAACCGGACACAGGGGGGGGGAGGGGTGCGGACAGGCCGTCACTCAGACGAATCTGAGGACAGCGGCGGCCCGGAGTCGGAACAAAGCTGGGAACCATCCAGGAAAAGGGGGCATGTGACCTCATTTAGGAAAGATTTTAAATCCATTTAGCCACAGATACTGGTCACAGGGTCAGTTCTCATGTTTGGCTGATAATTAACATCTATCGGAGCTGGCCACCCGAGAGCGCGGATGACATTTTCACAGGCCACTTGTTCCGATTAAAAGCGGATCAGCTGGTTTTGGAGAGCACGGGCGACCACCTTTAATTGGAATTAGCTGAATTCACAGGTCGGACAACTGAAAGCGCAGTTTTGTGACTTATCCCCCAGGCGCTTTAGAAACCACGGATCCACATAATATTCACTCAAGTGCGTTAAGACCACATTTTCAGGTCCCTCGTGTAACTATGTAACAGTCTATTACTATACGGTTTAGTGCCGGAAGGCCGGGTTTACATTTGGCGTTTGCGGGAAACGGCCGAAGCACAATCACAATCAGCCTGATTCAGTTGCGCAATATTACCATTTAAGTCAAAGCAACCGATGAAATGTATCGTTGAGGCTTACGAGTACCTTACAAGTCCTAAACCCTAAACTTCATTTGAATCGCAAAAGTGAACATTTAGGAACATTTGAATAAGAACCCGTTCCCTCCAATCTCTTTTAAAAATGCAAAACTGTTCTGTAGCTAGCTACGAAATTGACAGATCATCGATTGCCCACAACAAATCTGAGACTTAGCTGGACACGTAAACGAAACGATTATGCAATTGCAGGAAACAGCAACCCGTACCCAGGGTACACCCTGGACCGGACGCCAGTTCATTGCAGGGCACACACAGACGCAAATGCGCCCACACTCCCACCTAGGGCCAGTTTTCTCAATTAACCCATCAGGAGGAAGCCCACGCCAGCACGGGGAGAACATGCAGACTCCACGCCGACAGCAGCCCAGGAACTGAGCCAACTCTCCAGCGCGGCGAGGCGGCCACGCTGGCCACTGCACCACCCCGCCGCCCGCAAACTCCCCTCCTCATGGGCAGAACCGTTCAGGTAAGCGGCGGGGAAGAAGGGGGACTTTAAGAAGGGTCAGTAAAGAGCACGCAGCGGCCTTTCCTGGACTCGACCAACGCCGGAAGCCCCGCATAGAGCCCCGAATCGTAGCTGCGCTGATACCGGCTGGGAGCGCGGCGCAGCGCAAGCAGTCTTCGGGTGAGGAGCGAAAAGCACGGGCTGATGATGAATTAACTGAATGAAATGTTTTTATTTCTAGTGACGTTTCCCCATTGGTTCGCTAGGATCGCTCTCATTCAGTCTTCAGTTCGTGTTCGCCAAACTCTCTCGTTGCCGTCTCAAATAACACGCGTACGAGTTTCTTCATCTCAAGGGCAGTTAAGACCTGACAGCTCTCACTTTCCGAGTCCGCCAAAAAACCCTTAATCTCTTGAGTTGGTGACCTAGGGAGTATTTCACGTTTCGCATTTCTAGTTACTTAGATTTCTTCAATAGAATCGTAAGAGCTGAGTGTTGAGGAATGGAAGTGAAGCTGGCGATACCAGAGGCAGGAGAAGTATAGCAAAACACAGCACCACGGAATCCAGCTGCCACAGGTGTGCCCAGAAGGGACGAAAACCGTTTTTCCGTTTACTGCCTTTGCTTCAATTTGCTTTCCACAATCTTTAAAGGCAGCGAGGGGAGTATATTGTTCAAAGGGAACCACATAGGCATAAAAAAATAAAAACCGTCTGAGGATGTAATCTGGAAACTCGTGCTGTGTGCGGAGCAGCGTGGTTGCACACTAGTGAGAATTGCTGCCTCACTGCGCTGGGGCCCTGGGTTCAATTCCGGACCTGGGGTGCTGTCTGTGTGGAGTCTGTATGTTCTCCCCCCCCCCCTACCGTGTTAATGTGAGTGTTCAGGTGCTCTGGTTTCCTCCCACAGTCCAAAAACACACTGATGAGTTAACTTGGTTTATGGGAGATTTGGCCCTAAGTGTGAGTCCACTTGTCTGCCCTGCGATGGATACGCAACCTGTCCAGGGTGTGTCCTGCCTTGTGTCCACTGTGTGTCAGGATAGACTCCGCCTCCCCTGTGACCCTGCATTGGATAAAGTGGTCCGAAAATGGATGGATGTAACAAAGCACAGCGAATGCACAGTTAGGCTTGTTTCATCATACAAACAAATGGAAAAAAAGACAGGCAAGAGTATGGAACTAATATGAGAGGGTGGTAGATACAGATACAGTTAAAGGCAGGTTTACTGCAGTAAATGTATACAAGGAAAGGAATCCCTTCATGAGATGCCTCTTTATACCTGTCTATTCCCATATATTTCACAGCCTAATGGACTCTACCTAATCTACCTAAGAAGCTACTGTACCTAATGGGCATACTGTAATTGTTATGGGCAATTCTACATCTTGTGAGCTTCAATTAGATGTCCGTAAGATTATTAGATTAAAACAATGAAATCTAATCTATTAATTAGATTAAAATAAACGGGTAAAATAAAAGGGGTGGTGATTCAACTATTCACAATTGTCAACCCGAGAGCCAACTGGAAAGTAAAGGGCAGCTCATTCGAGACAGAGAACCAAAGCAACATCTGTACACAAAGGGTTGTTGGAGTCTGAAGCAAGCTAACTAGCCTCAATGCTCAAGTCAGCGCCCTGGTTTCCTTCAGATAGGGGCTGGGTGAGACGCTTTGACTGATTCACTGCAAGCTACCAAAGAGCTAGCTTGTCACTTTTCTGCCTTGAGATGTGAAAATAATCCTTCAGCTAGTATTTCTCCAAAAGCCATTCCCACTGCTAATTTTGCCAGCGATCCACTCCCTGCAGTTAATATCTGACCTGCTGAATTTCCTTCCGTGCCCTTTCATCTCTATCCAATTATTTGCCGACACAATATTTGGCTGCAATCTTTTGCGAAGTACTTTTAAAATTGAGCAGCAAGCAAAACCAGTCAAAACGAAACACACAAAAACCATGGGAACATGTAGAAGGTGCCACTATGCAAAAATGAAATTGCAAATGACAGGAAACAGATGAAACGCAGTCCAGGTTGTTCTTGGCAAATTCCAGTGTTTTTTGCTCTCAGCATCATTCTTAAATTTTTTTGGTGGGGGGGCAAACTGGGATATTTGTTAATTATATCTTTACTGCACTTTTTGTCCCAAAGTACTTTTTACCCTGCAGCTGCTGCAGCTCAGCAGATCTGCGGTATCTGCTGGATTAGGAGCAGTGAGAAATTGCTCCTCTGGTTGAATCAAGGCAGATGTTTGACCATAGTGGGCCTGAACTGGGGTTAACACCCCTGCTCCTCATGTGTGGGATGGTGGAAACAGTGATTTTCCGGGTTCTGCGAGACGAGCCATCGTGATCAGATACCAGTAGCGCAGTGGATAACAAACATCAGCAGCGAGCATTTTAAAGCCATTTCTAGGTCCATGTTTCTCAGGCGTCGGTCCCTGCCGAAAACCTTACACACAGAGCCAGGGAGGCACAGTCACAACAGGACAATTCAATTTATTTGCTTCTATTCCAGTTCTGGCCTCAGTGCCGCTCAAATGAGGCAGCTCTTAGAGAGCTGGAGCCTGGTACCAAAAGAGGCTGGGGAACACTTGTGTAGGTGACAGAGGGTGACTGATGGCTGTTTAGCGGGCACACCACACGCCTCACTGTGGTGGAAATCGCACGTCACCAATCAGTTCATCTTTGCGCACAGTTCTGTACCACACTCACTTCGTACATGGACGCATACCAAAATAAGTTAGACAGTTAACACGTTTGTACAGTGCCCCTCGGATAGCTCACTGCTAAGTGCTTGATGAGAGCAGCCCATGTGACCCTTGTTCCTGGTCTGGTCAGGGAGAACCGAGGCCCAGCAGGGTTTGTAAGTCAGTGATTCCCAACCCTGGTACTGGAGACACTCCTGCTGGGATTGGCTGTAGCCGAGCTCTCTTTTACGCAACTGAGCTCTTAGTTGGCTTAACAATGGGATCGATTTGAGCTGTTTGAGTGATTTCGGCTCTGGAAAGCAATGAAGGTTACCTTTCAATGATTGCTTTTCACAAGCCACATAAAATGGCTCATTTTGAGTTAAAAAAACTTGCAGGTGTGACTTATCAAGTAACCCTAGTTTAATTAAGGCTTCAGTTAAGTAATTATAGGCATCTGGAATGAAAAGCAGCAGGTGTGTGGGTCTCCAGGACCAGCACTGTGAACCCCTGCTATAGGGAACTAAGGCCAATTATGTCAAATGCTGATTCAATTAACCCATTAGGAGCAAAGAGTGAGGAGCACTGCTTTATAGAGATAAAAACAGACAAGAAAATGATAACCATAGAACAACACTGTAACATAAATTGAATTGAAGGGGCAAATCTCTGCAGTGCAGTTTGACTCAAT